TTGGCGACGGAAGTTGTATAAAGGCGTAGTCTTTTTTTTCTATCAAGCACGAAAGCTGAATCCTTTTTTGTACTTTTTTTAGAGGAAACTTTGATTTGGTTCAGGTTAATCCAGCAAATGGGCGAATGTTAGGTGGTAATGGTGCAGATGGAGGTACTTCACTTCAAATTTAGTATCTTTTTCTGGGGGAAAACAAAATGATTATATAAATTGGATCTAATCATCTAAGTGTTTATTGGAAGCTATTCATGATGCTGCTGGGCCACAGCTGAGAGCAGCATGTTATGAAGTACCTGAAGTTTGTCCCGGAATCCGTTGTCCGACCGGAGAAGCTAGAATTACGCCGTGTGGTTTCACTTTCTCCTCTCTGTCTTCTTTTGTACAGATGTTCTGAGTTTTCCAAGTTTTGTGTTTGTTGATTGTTTTCTTTGCTGCATATTTTGGAATTTGAGTAGGGGTTTTAACTTGCCTGCATCTCATGTGATTCACACGGTCGGACCGATTTATAATGCCGAGAAGAATCCTAAGAAACTACTAGAGAATGCTTACAAGTAAGCAAGTAAACACATTTCTATGTAGTAATATGCAGAGCTCTCAGTTACTTCACATGTGCTTGCTCAGGATTGGTGATTTTTAAACTGGTTTTGGTAACAGGAACAGTCTGAGAGTGGCTAAGGAGAATAACATTCGGTACATTGCATTTACTGCAATATCTTGCGGTATCTTCAGGTATGAAGAATAAGAAACTCGATCTTTGCGTTGTTGGTAGATGTTTTCAGAGATATATCTTCTTATTTGTGAACCATCTAAAGAAACTCAATTGGCTTTTGTTCTTCATCTGAATTGTTAGGTATCCTTTGGATGAAGCTGCTTCGATAGCTATCGCCACGGTTAAGCAATTTAGTAAAGATTTTAAAGAGGTACTAAACTAAAAGGCCAATGAAATTTTTGGTCAAAACATCTATTAATCATGCTTTAGAAATGCTAAATCAAGTCCAATAAGTTCTCTTTGATATCTCAGTGAGTTAAAAAGTTTGTGTTACTGATAAAATGTTGAATCTTTCTCAGGTGCATTTTGTTATGTTTAGCGACGATAGCTACACAATGTGGCTGAACAAGGCAAAGGATTTGCCTCCTCCACCACAAGGCCGTGACTTCTCCTCTTCGCCGACAACAACCAAAAGAGGATTCTTCAGTAATCTCAACTGTTTCTCTTAAATTGTTTTGGTACTGATCTAATGAAGTGAAGCTATTGTCTCTAATCTCATGTAGTAAACTTGTATTAATCTCATCGCAATAAGGCACATTGAGAAAAAAAATGTGTTTGATCTTAATGAAATGTCACACTGAGTGGTTTCTCATGCCAATTATCCGGCCCATGATCAGGCCCATTAACAGATCTGACTTAATTTAACCAGTAATGGGCCAAAACTTATGAGTAAGACAGTGAAATTTTGGCGAAGACTTAAAATGAGACGACGACTCTGGTTGACCTGTGGAGTGGGAAGCATACACTCGAACTCGATCCGCAGATCAAATTCGACTCCGGCGAGAGTTTCTCCGATCTCGGCCACTTTTGCCGTCAGTAAATTCCACACGGCGGCGTTACGGTTTCGGAGCGAGCTGATTACCGCTTCATCTTCGTCGTCGTTTCTCTCTTCTCCGGCGAAGAGTTCTCGAGTTGTAACAACTGTTTCATCTATGGCTTCTGGAGACGAAGGAGCTGTTTTCAATTTGTCTGATTCAAATGTTCTTAAGATCCTTAAAGGAGATATCACCAAGTGGTCCGTCGATGGATCTTCCGATGCTATTGTAAGTCTCTCTCTCTTCTCTTGATCAATTCGAATTCTAGGGCTGGCTTTTCCACAATCGATAGATTTGTCTCAAATTAGACGAAACTTGAGAGAGCTGGTGATGATAAAATTTAGGTCTGATTCTCCAGGTCACTCCAGCGAATGAGCGAATGCTA